GCAGCGGGGTATCGATCCCCGTACCTCTCACATGCTAAGCGAGCGCTCTACCACTTGAGCTACAGCCCCGATGTGCACCTCAAGCAAGCGTACATAAACGACTATCTAGCTGGTTACACGAAGCCTATTCATTAGAGCATACATACCTATTTAACTTTTTCCTCCAATCTCTGTTGATTCCAGTCGTTATTGATGAAAACAGTTTTCATACAAGTAGCATGCTTCGATGGTCAAGGAAGCGAATAAACAATTACAACATACATTCTTGTACAAAAGTACTGTCATTTGTAAACATGTTTCAATGTCACGCTTAAAAGCGAACACCACGTACGGTATACAATATAGTGAGAAGTTGCTTGGCCCCTTGTGTTATTTAAAAAAATATATCTACTGTCTCTTTAAAATATGCTTATTTTAAAACAAAACAGTATTCATGAAATCAAAAGACTTGTAAAAACTGCCAAGAGCCGTATGTAGTGATCACAATTAAGCTATGAGCAGCTTGCTTTTAAATATCAGTAACTAATATATTTTTATAAAAAAGGCTGCGGGTAAAAAGAGAGCCAAAATGGAGCAGCGGGGTATCGATCCCCGTACCTCTCACATGCAAAGCGAGCGCTCTACCACTTGAGCTACAGCCCCGATGTGCACCTCAAGCAAGCGTACATAAACGACTATCTAGCTGGTTACACGAAGCCTATTCATTAGAGCATACATACCTATTTAACTTTTTCCTCCAATCTCTGTTGATTCCAGTCGTTATTGATGAAAACAGTTTTCATACAAGTAGCATGCTTCGATGGTCAAGGAAGCGAATAAACAATTACAACATACATTCTTGTACAAAAGTACTGTCATTTGTAAACATGTTTCAATGTCACGCTTAAAAGCGAACACCACGTACGGTATACAATATAGTGAGAAGTTGCTTGGCCCCTTGTGTTATTTAAAAAAATATATCTACTGTCTCTTTAAAATATGCTTATTTTAAAACAAAACAGTATTCATGAAATCAAAAGACTTGTAAAAACTGCCAAGAGCCGTATGTAGTGATCACAATTAAGCTATGAGCAGCTTGCTTTTAAATATCAGTAACTAATATATTTTTATAAAAAAGGCTGCGGGTAAAAAGAGAGCCAAAATGGAGCAGCGGGGTATCGATCCCCGTACCTCTCACATGCAAAGCGAGCGCTCTACCACTTGAGCTACAACCCCTGTTGTCTATCATGGCGAAAATGTATTCAATGTTGTCCAGACCCTCCAGCGTTTGACTTGGCCAACACGTGAGAACAGATTAATCTTTCGAAGGAAAAACGGATTTTGTTTTAATTTCAGTGCCTATTTCGTCTTTGTAAGTATTGGGGTCGAGATGTTTCAAAATAAGTAGCATACTGCCACCAGTAGATGGTACTTGAAGTTGCTTAAAACACATTAACTAAAATCATCTATATCCGGTAGGAAAACATGATTTGCACTCAAAAGGCATACACACAAAGTGGATAAAAACTATTATATTAAAAAAAGTAGTATCACTGGAGCAGCGGGGTATCGATCCCCGTACCTCTCACATGCTAAGCGAGCGCTCTACCACTTGAGCTACAGCCCCGATGTGCACCTCAAGCAAGCGTACATAAACGACTATCTAGCTGGTTACACGAAGCCTATTCATTAGAGCATACATACCTATTTAACTTTTTCCTCCAATCTCTGTTGATTTCAGTCGTTATTGATGAAAACAGTTTTCATACAAGTAGCATGCTTCGATGGTCAAGGAAGCGAATAAACAATTACAACATACATTCTTGTACAAAAGTACTGTCATTTGTAAACATGTTTCAATGTCACGCTTAAAAGCGAACACCACGTACGGTATACAATATAGTGAGAAGTTGCTTGGCCCCTTGTGTTATTTAAAAAAATATATCTACTGTCTCTTTAAAATATGCTTATTTTAAAACAAAACAGTATTCATGAAATCAAAAGACTTGTAAAAACTGCCAAGAGCCGTATGTAGTGATCACAATTAAGCTATGAGCAGCTTGCTTTTAAATATCAGTAACTAATATATGTTTATAAAAAAGGCTGCGGGTAAAAAGAGAGACAAAATGGAGCAGCGGGGTATCGATCCCCGTACCTCTCACATGCAAAGCGAGCGCTCTACCACTTGAGCTACAACCCCTGTTGTCTATCATGGCGAAAATGTATTCAATGTTGTCCAGACCCTCCAGCGTTTGACTTGGCCAACACGTGAGAACAGATTAATCTTTCGAAGGAAAAACGGATTTCGTTTTAATTTCAGTGCCTATTTCGTCTTTGTAAGTATTGGGGTCGAGATGTTTCAAAATAAGTAGCATACTGCCACCAGTAGATGGTACTTGAAGTTGCTTAAAACACATTAACTAAAATCATCTATATCCGGTAGGAAAACATGATTTGCACTCAAAAGGCATACACACAAAGTGGATAAAGCCTATTCTATTAAAAAAAGTAGTATCACTGGAGCAGCGGGGTATCGATCCCCGTACCTCTCACATGCTAAGCGAGCGCTCTACCACTTGAGCTACAGCCCCGATGTGCACCTCAAGCAAGCGTACATAAACGACTATGCAGCATCTAGCTGGTTACACGAAGCCTATTCATTAGAGCATACATACCTATTTAACTTTTTCCTCCAACCTCTGTTGATTCCAGTCGTTATTGATGAAAACAGTTTTCATACAAGTAGCATGCTTCGATGGTCAAGGAAGCGAATAAACAATTACAACATACATTCTTGTACAAAAGTACTGTCATTTGTAAACATGTTTCAATGTCACGCTTAAAAGCGAACACCACGTACGGTATACAATATAGTGAAAAGTTGCTTGGCCGCTTGTGTTATTTAAAAAAAAAATATCTACTGTCTCTTTAAAATATGCTTATTTTAAAACAAAACAGTATTCATGAAATCAAAAGACTTGTAAAAACTGCCAAGAGCCGTATGTAGTGATCACAATTAAGCTACGAGCAGCTTGCTTTTAAATATCAGTAACTAATATATTTTTATAAAAAAGGCTGCGGGTAAAAAGAGAGCCAAAATGGAGCTGCGGGGTATCGATCCCCGTACCTCTCACATGCAAAGCGAGCGCTCTACCACTTGAGCTACAACCCTTGTTGTCTATCATGGCGAAAATGTATTCAATGTTGTCCAGACCCTCCAGCGTTTGACTTGGCCAACACGTGAGAACAGATTAATCTTTCGAAGGAAAAACGGATTTAGTTTTAATTTCAGTGCCTATTTCGTCTTTGTAAGTATTGGGGTCGAGATGTTTCAAAATAAGTAGCATACTGCCACCAGTAGATGGTACTTGAAGTTGCTTAAAACACATTAACTAAAATCATCTATATCCGGTAGGAAAACATGATTTGCACTCAAAAGGTATACACACAAAGTGGATAAAACCTATTATATTAAAAAAAGTAGTATCACTGGAGCAGCGGGGTATCGATCCCCGTACCTCTCACATGCTAAGCGAGCGCTCTACCACTTGAGCTACAGCCCCGATGTGCACTCAAGCAAGCTTCATAAACGACTATGCAACATCTAGCTGGTTACACGAAGCCTATTCCTTAGAGCATACATACCTATTTAACTTTTTCCTCCAACTTCTGTTGATTCAGTGGTTATTGATGAAAAAAGTTTTCATACAAGTAGCATGCTTAGATGGTCAAGGAAGCGAATAAACAATTACAACATACATTCTTGTACAAAAGATCTGTCATTTGTAAACATGTTTCAATGTCACGCTTAATAGCGAACACCACGTACGGTATACAATATAGTGAGAAGGTGCTTGGCCGCTTGTGTTAATTTAAAAAAAAAATCTACTGTCACATTAAAATATGCTTATTTTAAAACAAAACAGTATTTATGAAATAAAAAAAGACTTGTTAAAACAGTCAAGAGCCGTATGTAGTGATCACAATTAAGCTTTGAGCGGCTTGCTTTTAAATATCAGTAACTAACATATTTTTATAAAAAAGAAAATATGATTTGCACTCAAAAGACACACAAATAAAGTTGATAAAACCTATTATAATTATAAAAAAGTAGTATCACTGGAGCTGCGGGGTATCGATCCCCGTACCTCTCACATGCTAAGCGAGCGCTCTACCACTTGAGCTACAGCCCCGATGTGCTCACAAGCAAGCGTACATAAACCACTTGAGCTACAACCCCTCCTGTCGATAAAGCACACCATCAACGATGTATTGAAAGAATAACGTCATGAGACAATCATAACATCAACAACCTCTATGATCTATGCGGTAGACCCAGACGTTTAGACGTGTATGGCTCCCACATCATTTGTTGACCTTTTCTCTGGCTGTTTACATCAGCGGGGGTTGAGGCCAGTCATGTCTCCTGTCCGTGGTAAATTAGACCCCGCGGTGTAAGTCACAATGTATATAAATATGTTTATGTTCAGTTGGCTATCAGTGACATGCTTCCAATCATATTAAATGGATTTCTTACAACTTTTATACATAGTATCCCCACCCTCAGTATTTTATATCTCCATACTATGTATCTTTTGTCCCACTGTCAGCATCTTTTGTCCCACTGTCAGCATCTTTTGTCCCACTGTCAGCATCTTTTGTCCCACTGTCAGCATCTTTTGTCCCACTGTCAGCATCTTTTATCCCCACCCTCAGTATCTTAGGTCCCCATCCTCTCTAGTGTCGACACGCAGACGCTCCCTAGTTCAACCATATCCTATCCACATGCTCACATCCCATATTCTAGGGTTGCATTCACTTTTTCTAATGTGCATCCTAATTTAAACAATTGAAACCTTAATTTTTATACGCGGTAATTAATAGGCAATTTAGATTAGTACAGATTTTAAAATGATGGTATAAACGTTCATCGTTTGTTTCCATGACGCCGATTTTAGAACCACTGATTAGTGGAAAAATGGATCAAACGAGACTTGACAAGCAGATGTTGCATTATTCATGCTGAGTTTGTTGTCGTGTGAGTAGCTGTTGTTAACTGTGTCGGCTTTTACGTGTTCAGTATTCAAAGGACATTAAATCATACAAGTTAGTGGCTTATGTAGTTCGACGATTGTGTGAAGGTTTGAATGTATCATCAATTAATTTAAATTGAAGTACGTATAACCTTTATTAATATAATATTTACCGTGAAAACATCAAATCATTACATTGCTATTTATTAGGAATGCATTTATTTTAAAGAAAATACAGGCACATTTTTTCCACCCCCCCCCGGTTTTGTTTTAGTTGCTAATTTCAACATTGGAACAAGTTTATCTATATTGACTAAACAATGATAGGTAAATTTGATTTTTTAAAAATATAAGTTTATAATGTAATTAAGATAGCTGCATAAAACATGATTAGTGCTTTGTGTTGTTTTTTATTTATATCCTTTAATGTGTATATTTTCACATTTATTTTCTGCTTAAAAGCGTGAGTGTTATTTTGTTCAACTTGACAGAAGGCATGTTCGCTGTATTTTCGTGTGACTCTGCAGGTTGATTATGTGGGGTTAAGTTGTTCTTTTTATAGACATGTGTTCAATATAGATGTGCATACGCAGTATATGTTTGAAAAACCGGTGAATAGACTTACCTATTAACGGCATGATGTTCAGTAATGGAGACAAAATTTGAATAAACGTATGATCTATCTATTTTTCTTGATTGTGTGTGTGTGTGTGGGTGGGTGGGGGAGGGGGTGGTATTTCAACATCAACTAGCGGAGTAATGAAAAAGTGAAGCTTGTCAGCAGATTTGGTTTCTCTCGCTGGTGGTCGTGTTTATGGTGCGGATGAAGTCGTATGGTGTTTCGGTCAAGTAATGGTTCAGGTTATTGGTCCAAGTGCACAAGTGCTAACACTAAAGTCTCAAGCTCTAATATCTTGTTGGTTCCCGACTCATGTTAGAAAAGAAAACATGGATGGGCATCTAACTGATCCCACTGGGCGGGGCACCTAACTGATCTCACATTCGTGGTTACAGAAACAACCAAACACTGCTTATTCTGGCCTATTGAACTAAGAACGAGTTGCTTTATATTTTTACTGTTTTTTTTTTAAAATTCCTACCGTTAACTGTTTTGATTAAAGATGTACCTTCTTGCCGTTAGTATCATGTCCGATTGCACCCTACATTGTGTCGTGTGTATGTTACGGTCAAAGCCTGAAGTTCGGCCAAAGCCTGCATTGGCCGGCTAATGCGCACAATGTCCGAAAACCTTTAACTTGACAGTGTATTTCTTACATTGGCCGGCTAATGCGCGTACTGGCCGGGACAACATAGATGGATCGAATATCTGCGACAATCTAAAAGTGATGGCCACACTTTTCAACAAAGCCAACACCGAAGCCATGCGCGGGGCTACAGCAAGAAACGTTAGCCATATGTGATCACTTTATGGGCTAACAAGGAGCACACACTTTTAAATTTATTGCTTTATTATTGTGATGCATGTTGGCAGTACAGATTATTTCAGTACTAACTAGCCACTTGTATCCGTCAGAACAGGGCAATAAAATATAATCGAACCGTAGTGTTTTAAAGAAGTGTTGGTCACATTTCTTTTAGATAAACTACTAAACGTAAGTCAGTTTTTCCATTGAAAGCATCAGTTGAACATGGTGAGTTGTTTTTTGTTCTGTTTAGTTTATCAGTTGCACGAGTTTGATATTAAATAAGTAACCATGGCTACAGGTTGCAGGTCATCCAATAGTGTACGTGAAAAAAAAACAACTAACCCACGATCAGTGCTGTTATTTAGGGGGAGAGAGGTGATACGGGATGCAGTAGCACCTGGGAGCTGAGCTTTCAGGAATTTGAGATTATTGTCAACAGATTAGCTTTCTGTCTCTGGTGCTGGTCGTGTTGAGAGCACGAATTATGTCGTATCGTGTTTTGGTCTTTTGATGGTTAATTTATTGAACGAAGTGACCCGGTTGTGGAATGCTAAACTGCTTATCCGAAAGTAACAAACTCGGATTTATGTGTGACTCAGGTTAGGGAAAGATAAGAGAGCTGTTTAAGAAAATGTATTCATATTTAATGTTACAGAAAAAGTTGTACTCTATTTTATCTGCACTATTGACAGTCAGATCTAAGAAAGAGCAGCTCTATATTTTGCTGTGCTTGAGTTTATTTCTTGTTATGTTGCATACCTCATCTTGTTTGTTTATAAAGCATCGACAAATCGAATATTCGAGACACTACAAAAGTTCACGCAAGCTTTTAAAAACGAGTTACTTTTCCACCGGATCTTTCTAAGGGACAACAAATTGCCACTGTGAACCATCTGTGAACCGTGATCATCTCATAGCTCGACATCGATTCGGCAGTTTTTATACTTGTTTACCAAAGTCAACCGTCAACACGGCTGTATATAAAAGCTACAGCAACTGCCTCAACCTACTCTAGTGTAGCATCTAACCATTGCGCCAGTCGTAGCAAGACACGAACATACACACGATTATTTCTAAATTGCCGTAGTGTTTTAAAGAAGTATAGGGCAGTTTCTTTTATAGACTTAAATGTTAAATTTTTCCATTGAATGCAGCAGATGAAATAAAAACCTGACCTACTAATTAACTGATTGCTCCCACAGCTATGTGTCTAGCTGTGTGTCTCTGGCTGCTTGTGTCCAGTCTATGGCTGTCTGGCTGCGCCCAACAAGATGGCGGATCTAACGTTACATCCAGTGGTGGGAACTGTAGCACTCTTACACCGTGCGGCTCTACCAACACCAACGGCAACAAAATAGACCGGAGTGAGCCGGACTCACCTGGACCGTTCCATGACCTCACCAAACTTGAACTTAAGAATGTAAGTACTGACCTTCAATGACCTCACCAAACTTGAACTTAAGAATGTAAGTACTGACCTTCAATGACCTGACCAAACTTGAACTTAAGAATGTAAGTACTGACCTTCATTGACCTCACCAAACTTGAACTTAAGAATGTAAGTACTGACCTTCAATGACCTCACCAAACTTGAACATAAGAATGTAAGTACTGACCTTCAATGACCTCACCAAACTTGAACTTAAGAATGTAAGTACTGACCTTCAATGACCTCACCAAACTTGAACTTAAGCATGTAAGTACTGACCTTCAATGGCCTCACCAAACTTGAACTTAAGAATGTAAGTACTGACCTTCAATGACCTCACCAAACTGGAACTTAAGAATGTAAGTACTGACCTTCAATGACCCAACCAAACTTGAACTTAAGAATGTAAGTACTGACCTTCAATGACCTCACCAAACTGGAACTTAAGAATGAAGTACTGACCTTCAATGACCTCACCAAACTTGAACTTAAGAATGTAAGTACTGACCTTCAATGACCTCACCAAACTTGAACTTAAGAATGTAAGTACTGACCTTCAATGACCCCACCAAACTTGAACTTAAGAATGTAAGTACTGACCTTCAATGACCTCACCAAACTTGAACTTAAGAATGTAAGTACTGACCTTCATTGACCTCACCAAACTTGAACTTAAGAATGTAAGTACTGACCTTCAATGACCTGACCAAACTTGAACTTAAGAATGTAAGTACTGACCTTCAATGACCTCACCAAACTTGAACTTAAGAATGTAAGTACTGACCGTTCCATGACCTCACCAAACTTGAACTTAAGAATGTAAGTACTGACCTTCATTGACCTCAACAAACTTGAACTAAAGAATGTAAGTACTGACCTTCAATGACCTCACCAAACTGGAACTTAAGAATGAAGTACTGACCTTCAATGACCTCACCAAACTTGAACTTAAGAATGTAAGTACTGACCTTCAATGACCTCACCAAACTTGAACTTAAGAATGCAAGTACTGACCTTCAATGACCTCACCAAACTTGAACTTAAGAATGTAAGTACTGACCTTCAATGACCTTACCAAACTTGAACTTAAGAATGTAAGTACTGACCTTCAATGACCCCACCAAACTTGAACTTAAGAATGTAAGTACTGACCTTCAATGACCTCACCAAACTTGAACTTAAGAATGTAAGTACTGACCTTCAATGACCTCACCAAACTTGAACTTAAGAATGTAAGTACTGACCTTCAATGACCTCACCAAACTTGAACTTAAGAATGTAAGTACTGACCTTCAATGACCTGACCAAACTTGAACTTAAGAATGTAAGTACTGACCTTCAATGACCTCACCAAACTTGAACTTAAGAATGTAAATACTGACCTTCAATGACCTCACCAAACTTGATCTTAAGAATGTAAGTACTGACCTTCAATGACCTCACCAAACTTAAACTTAAGAATGTAAGTACTGACCTTCATTGACCTCACCAAACTTGAACTTAAGAATGTAAGTACTGACCTTCAATGACGTCACCAAACTTGAACTTAAGAATGTAAGTACTGACCTTCAATGACCTCACCAAACTTGATCTTACGAATGTAAGTACTGACCTTCAATGGCCTCACCAAACTTGAACTTAAGAATGTAAGTACTGACCTTCAATGACCTCACCAAACTGGAACTTAAGAATGTAAGTACTGACCTTCAATGACCCAACCAAACTTGAACTTAAGAATGTAAGTACTGACCTTCAATGACCTGACCAAACTTGAACTTAAGAATGTAAGTACTGACCTTCAATGACCTCACCAAACTTGAACTTAAGAATGTAAGTACTGACCTTCAATGACATCACCAAACTTGAACTTAAGAATGTAAGTACTGACCTTCAATGACCTCACCAAACTTGAACTTAAGAATGTAAGTACTGACCTTCAATGACCTCACCAAACTTGAACTTAAGAATGTAAGTACTGACCTTCAATGACCTGACCAAACTTGAACTTAAGAATGTAAGTACTGACCTTCAATGACCTCACCAAACTTGAACTTAAGAATGTAAGTACTGCTTTTTTTTTAATCTGGTATTTTTGCTATAATTTTATTTTATTAGATAAATGTCGACCTAGGTATTTTACACCGAATATGTGTGTTTCACAGTGAAAGAATGTTTACCTTCATCGTTAATGTATTATATATTCTTCAATGAAGAGTGTTTACCTATTACATATAATTAGGAATGTAGTTTTTATTAGATTTTTTAGAATTATAATACAATGTTTTCTTTTGTTTGTACTTGAATCTTCCAAAACAAATTTCCATTATTTTTCCCAGTTAAGGACTTTCCTGGAGAATGACCCTAACATCAGGGCCGTGAACTCTAGCCAAGCGACCGTCAATTCCAGCTACATCTACATGGTGGATTTGTTTCTACCAAACAAGTCGCGCGTTGTGTACTTCTTAGATCATGGATGTGAGTACTACATCATGAGTTGTGTTAACAAGTTGGTTTATTTACGGCGGAGTTGGTTTCGTGTTTTAATTAACATGATTGGTTGTCGTGTAATGTAAAAACTAAACCGAAATCTACCGCTAACCCTCTCCTATAGATCGCGACGCACAAAATAAAATACTCGAACGCTGGCCTAACTTTATCAGACCTTAGACAAACACGCAGAGCTAGCTGTTGTACTTTAAACACACTGCAAGAAAGGAGTTAATTAAGTTAATTTTGTTAATGAGGTCACCAATTAACTCTGATAATTAGATATTGAATTTAGAGTTGTTTTCTAAACTCACTAAAGCTTTTTATATATGGAAGGGTTTGAAACATATAGGACTACTATATACGAATTTATTTTTTTAATATGTTTTTGTACGGACTGAAAATGAAGAAAAAAGCTGCAGTTTATAGGCCCTACTTACTTGTTTGTGTATTTGACATTACATATGTGTAAACGTATGCGATGTCTTTAGATAAAATAACTAGCTACGATACGTCCCTACAGTTGCCTTTGAAGTTGTGGTTATTTGAGCTCTATTTTATGACATGACAATAGAATGTAGCCACGGAAATTAATGCTTTTTATAATTTTAGAGTTGTACCTGAACAGAGCATACTTTTATTAACAATGTGTTTAATTGATTTAATGAGATGAGCAACCTGTAAGAAGCGCCCGTGTGATGATGTTCAGGGGGGACAAGACCCCTGCTGTGGTGGAGGAATACCTGTGTGGACCCCTGCCTGACATCCAGAGATGTGACTTGCTCAACTTTACCTATAGACGGAATCCTGTCGAGTTTACTCTCAGGTGAGATTTTGTGACGTGTTCAGTACAGGTAGATGAGACACGACTTTGTGACGTGTCTACAGGTAGATGAGACACGACTTTGTGACGTGTTCAGTACAGGTAGATGAGACACGACTTTGTGACGTGTCTACAGGTAGATGAGACACGACTTTGTGACGTGTTCAGTACAGGTAGATGAGACACGACTTTGTGACGTGTCTACAGGTAGATGAGACATGACTTTGTGACGTGTTCAGTACAGGTAGATGAGACACGACTTTGTGACGTGTCTACAGGTAGATGAGACACGACTTTGTGACGTGTCTACAGGTAGATGAGACACGACTTTGTGACGTGTCTACAGGTAGATGAGACACGACTTTGTGACGTGTCTACAGATAGATGAGACATGACTTTGTGACGTATTCAGTACAGGTAGATGAGACACGACTTTGTGACGTGTCTACAGGTAGATGAGACACGACTTTGTGACGCGTCTACAGGTAGATGAGACACGACGTTGTCACGTGTTCAGTACAGGTAGATGAGACACGACTTTTTTTTTGTAAACAATGTAATGATTTATCTTATTGTTTAGGCCTTTCAGTACTTTGGAGTTTGTTACAATCTTAAATACCTTAGGAGTGGAGCTGGATAATAAGGTAGGCCTTATGTTTGTTTGATCACAAATATTTGAATAATGTTCATGTTGTAGACCGTATGTCAGTATAATTACTTAATTTTTTATCATGTTCATTTTATTTTAAAGTGTTGCACCTAAATGGTTCTATTAATTATTTTTTTGTATGTTTAAATACATTTGAATTCATAAATCATGAAAATAATTTTGTCCGAAATCGCCCTTAATGTTTAAAGAATACTGATTAAAAAATCGAGAATTTTCCTTGAGAGTTAGAATTCGACCATGTTTTTATTTGATTTAGATAGGCTACATTTTCCGTGAGAGCTACAACGCTACAATTACTCAGTGCGTCACAAATGAGGAATGTTTTACCTTCACGCCATCTCCACTGGGATCTGGGTTCCTGAAAAACACGAACATCAGGTGAGGGTTGCTTTCATATCGGACTCAGTAGTGAGGGTTGCTTTCATATCGGACTCAGTAGTGAGGGTTGCTTTCATATCGGACTCAGTAGTTTTAGATGCTTGGTAGATCTTGTAGAGCATTTATTAATTCTAGTACATCCAAGGCAGATCTTGTACGCTTTTGGTAAGCAGAGTTTCTTTCATACATCTCTTCGGTTGGTGGAGCCCTCCCGAAGAATGATAACGCCCCACGAACTAAATGTAACTGATACAGAAAATATATACATCTACCAGTGTCAACATTTCGAAAAATTTAGTGCCCCCCCCCCCCCCGGAGAAAAAAGTCTGAGAGGAACACTGTAGGTAATTGTTGTACGTTTTAGGTAAGTGTTGTACGACTTAGGTAGGTTTTGTATGTCTTAGATAGATGTTGTACGTCTTAGGTAGGTGGTGTACGACTTAGGTAGGTTTTGTATGTCTTAGATAGATGTTGTACGTCTTAGGTAGGTGTTGTACGTCTTAGGTAGGTGTTGTACGTCTTAGGTAGGTGTTTTACGTCTTGGGTAGGTGGTGTACGTCTTAGGTAGGTGTTGTACGTCTTAGGTAGGTGTTGTACGTCTTAGGTAGGTGTTGTACGTCTTAGGTAGGTGTTGTACGTCTTAGGTAGGTGGTGTACGTCTTAGGTAGGTGTTGTACGTCTTAGGTAGGTGTTTTACGTCTTGGGTAGGTGGTGTACGTCTTAGGTAGATGTTGTACGTCTTAGGTAGGTGTTGTACGTCTTAGGTAGGTGTTGTACGTCTTAGGTAGGTGTTGTACGTCTTAGGTAGGTGGTGTACGTCTTAGGTAGGTGTTGTACGTCTTAGGTAGGTGTTGTATGTCTTAGGTAGGTGGTGTACGTCTTAGGTAGGTGGTGTACGTCTTAGGTAGGTGTTGTACGTCTTAGGTAGGTGTTGTACGTCTTAGGTAGGTGGTGTACGTCTTAGGTAGGTGGTGTACGTCTTAGGTAGGTGTTGTACGTCTTAGGTAGGTGTTGTACGTCTTAGGTAGGTGGTGTACGTCTTAGGTAGGTGTTGTACGTCTTAGGTAGGTGGTGTACGTCTTAGGTAGGTGGTGTACGTCTTAGGTAGGTGGCGTACGTCTTAGGTAGGTGGTGTACGTCTTAGGTAGGTGTTGTACGTCTTAGGTAGGTGGTGTACGTCTTAGGTAGGTGTTGTACGTCTTAGGTAGGTGGTGTACGTCTTAGGTAGGTGGTGTACGTCTTAGGTAGGCGGTGTACGTCTTAGGTAGGTGGTGTACGTCTTAGGTAGGTGGTGTACGTCTTAGGTAGATGTTGTACGTCTTAGGTAGGTGGTGTACGTCTTAGGTAGGTGGTGTACGTCTTAGGTAGGTGTTGTACGTCTTAGGTAGGTGTTGTACGTCTTAGGTAGGTGGTGTACGTCTTAGGTAGGTGGTGTACGTCTTAGGTAGGTGGTGTACGTCTTAGGTAGGTGGTGTACGTCTTAGGTAGGTGGTGTACGTCTTAGGTAGGTGTTGTACGTCTTAGGTAGGTGGTGTACGTCTTAGGTAGGTGGTGTACGTCTTAGGTAGGTGTTGTACGTCTTAGGTAGGTGGTGTACGTCTTAGGTAGGTGGTGTACGTCTTAGGTAGGTGGTGTACGTCTTAGGTAGATGTTGTACTAGTAAGGCTTCTAGTCTATATATCTAGCACGTGTCACTAACAAATAATGTTGTGTACTAAATGGCAATTGATAAAGAATAAAGCAAGGTACCGAGAGTAGGACGTCCATAAGAGGTTGCATCAAAGTTTATCTACCTCTTCAGGTCGTCTTAGGCGACATGATTAAGTGAAAGATTATATCAGCATTTTTTTAATTAAATTTTTTTTCCACGCATACATTTTAAATCCGCGATGTTTCAGACGAATGTGGTTCGTATTTACTTACCAACTGCCCTTCCAGTCCATATTCCCACTGGACTTTGCTGCTTTGTTCAACTTGGACAGTTCGGACCCAACGAACTGGTCCATCGAGAAGGTTTGGTACGCTGGTCAGATGTACAATACAGTGGAGGACCTCATCAAAGGCTACGATAATAACACGTAGGTTTTGTTCAAGGATTACAGATTGAAGTGTACATAACTATATATATATATATATATATATATATATATATATATATATATATATATATATATATATATATATATATATATATATATATATATATATATTGCCACAGAATCCCAAAGCGGAAGTTAACAAGACCAGTAGAGAATGAGGACCTGTTCTCAACATTGTACAGACGAGGTCAGCCCGTGCCTGACCAGCCTCAGAGACCCCCACTACAAGTGGAGCCAGACGGCAAGAGATACTCACTCAAAGATAGAAAGGTCAGTTGGTTAGTTGTGGATACTCACTCAAAGATAGAAAGGTCAGTTGGATAGGTGGGATACTCAAAGATAGAAAGGTCAGTTGGTTAGGTGGGGATACTCACTCAAAGATAGAAAGGTCAGTTGGTTAGTTGGAGATACTCAAAGATCAAAAGGTCAGTTGGTTAGTTGGGGATACTCAAATATAGAAAGGTCAGTTGGTTGGTTTTGGATACTCACTCAAAGCTGGAAAGGTCAGTTGGTTAGTTGGTGATACTCTCTCAGAGATAGAAAGGTCAGTTGGATAGTTGGTGATACTCTCTCAGAGATAGAAAGGTCATTTGGATAGTTGGGGATACTCAAAGATAGAAAGGTCAGTTGGTTAGTTGGTGATACTCTCTCAGAGATAGAAAGGTCAGTTGGATAGTTGGGGATACTCAAAGATAGAAAGGTCAGTTGGATAGTTGGGGATACTCAAAGATAGAAAGGTCAGTTGGTTAGTTGGGGATACTCAAAGATAGAAAGGTCAGTTGGTTGGTTTTGGATACTCATTCAAAGATAGAAAGGTCAGTTGGTTAGTTGGGAATACTCACTCAAAGATGGAAAGGTCAGTTGGATAGGTGGAAAAAACTATAATAGAGTTAGGCTCTAAAACATTAACACTGTGTTATATTTAGTTTAAAGATATTTGTGTTTATATACCTATTGTGTATCCTTCCAATTAAACACTAGTTAAAATTCAAATATTCTGACACAGTCTCCGCGTGTAAACAAAACTGTCGGCGAGTTGAAAAAAAAAACCGATTTATTTTTACAATATACTACTAAGAAGTCTAACTATTTGGCAACTGTTGAGCAAAAACGACCTAACTATTAGAGAATAAAATATAATCTTTCTTAACACCCATTTCAAGTTTTATCAAAATATTGACAGGTTGATTATTTGGGATGGAGCTTCAATTTCCGAATGTCTCCATTCACTGGACCAGCTATCTACGATGTTAGATTCAAAGGGGAGAGAATTGCATATGAAATAGCACTGGCAGAGTTGTCGGTCTTTTATTCAGGAGATGCTCCTGGAATAGTAAGTGTTCTGCAAAGTTTTGTGTTGGTCGATGTTTAATTAAAACTTTCAAAATGAAATGTTAACCTCTTTGTGATTTATTTAACACATTTTCTAGAAAAGTTAATTCCTATTTACTTGCGGAAGTACTAGAAATTCAAAAGGAACTAACCGTTTCTGTACACCACAGTCGAACATGAACTACGTCGACAGTGGGGCCTTGCTTGGCATACATTCCAAAGCTCTGGTTCCTGGAGGTGACTGTCCCGAGTTCGCGACCCTAATAAACCAGGTCAGACAGTTTTTTCCTTAATGTCCTTCAAATTATTTCATCTGGGTACTCAACTTTATATTTAATGTTTAGTGTATGACTTCAAAGTCCTTTATTACGAGATTCTGTATCATATATAAAGATCTAATTCTTATTTTGTATTTCCAGACTTTCTTCGCTCAACGTAGCCGAGAGGACGTAGAGCTGGCCTCAACGTTTTGTTTGTTTGAACAGAACAATGGCTACCCACTGAGGAGACATCTGTCCTACCAATTTGCTTTCGGCTCGTTTTACGGGGGAATGTTGGACTCTGTTTTAACTCTCAGGTAGGCAAAGAAATATGTTTCAACTCTCAGGTAGATAAAAGAAATGTGTTTTGTCTATCAGGTAGGCAAAGAAATCTGTTTTAACGCTCAGGTAGGCAAATAATTATGTTTTAACTCTCAGGTAGGAAAAGAAATCTGTTTGAACTCTCAGGTAGGCAAAGCACTCTGTTTTAACTCTCAGGTAAGCAAAGAAATCTGTTTTAACTCTCAGGTAGGCAAAGAAATCTGTTTTAATTCTCAGGTAGGCAAAGAAATCTGTTTTAATTCTCAGGTAGGCAAAGAAATCTGTTTTAATTCTCAGGTAGGCAAAGAAATCTGTTTTAACTCTCAGGTAGGCAAAGAAATCTGTTTTAATTCTCAGGCAGGCAAAGAAATCTGTTTTAACTCTCAGGTAGGCAAAGAAATCTGTTTTAATTCTCAGGTAAGCAAAGAAATCTGTTTTAACTCTCAGGTAGGCAAAGAAATCTGTTTTAATTCTCAGGTAGGCAAAGCAATCTGTTTTAACTCTCAGGTAGTCAAAGAAATCTGTTTTTTACTCCCATTGGGAAAAAATGTCAAATTAAAAAAATATAGCAGTTTAATTTGTAAAGTGATGATTCTTTTGTTTTGACAAGCAAGTAAAATTAATACGTGATACATTCCTTTATTGTTTTATACAACACTTTATCAACCAGAAAATCTTCTGTGTTTTTTTAATAACACCAGTGTCTTTGCAGATCGGCCATGACGATAGGCAACTACGATTATATTGTGGACTTCATCTTTCATCAGAATGGCATCATTGAGACTCGACTATTGAGCACAGGTCACGTAGGAATAATTTTTACATCAAATACCGCCAACATTTCTGAATTGTGTTCCCCACAACTGTTTTTACTTTATATACCTATAATTTTGTTGTTGCCTCTTTAACCTGATTTATTTTGTTAAACTAATTTTTATTGCTTCTAATATATGGTTTTTATTCTTTTTCCGTATTATCACTGGCCCTTCCCCTAGGATAAGATCTTTATTCTTAAACAACGTTTTTATAGTCTGTGTTTTGATTATTTTGTTTGATTTGTCTCTATATTCTATATATCCATAAAACATTCCTCTTTGGGTCTAGTGATGCATTGGGTAGATGAAGTAGAATTCTTATTTCTTGATATCGGCATAGTGTAGCCAACACTATCCTTAAGCTCTTTTACTTTCCCCAATGTAAGTCAGGTACCCGTCAGAGCTGGTTCGGCTCAGGCACGTCATACAATCATAAGTCTAACCAAGATCCGAACTCGCGACTTTCGGGCTAGTCGCCAAACCCTTAATCATTCGACCACGCCGACACATTCTATATTCCTATACCGTTTGAATATCGCCTCAAACACGTGCCCTATTGTCCAATACGATGTTGAAAGCACTCCTAAAGTGTGACTTATATTCCTATACCGCGTTATATTAGTCTACAATGAGCGACCTATATTCCTAAACCGCGTATAATGCTAAACTCTCCAGGCTACATACAGACCAGCTTCTACAGAGACGCGGAGATCCCCTACGGCTTCAGACTCCACGACAACATCCTAGGGAACGTGCACCACCATATGGCACACTTCAAGGTCGACCTTGACATTGCTGGCTCGTCCAACCGCTACCAGACCCTGGACATCGTCAACGACCAGAAGTTTGCGAGAGAGGTCAGTCATGTAGATATAGAGTAGGTTGCCACGGAAGTTTGCGAGGGAGGTCAGTCATGTAGATGTAGAGTAGGTTGCCACAGAAGTTTGTAGATGTAGAGTAGGTTGCCACGGAAGTTTGAAGATGAAGAGCAGGTTTAAATTTTGTTTTTACCTCATTCGTTTCTCCCTAATACGATATTATTTCAAACAATTTGCTCTTAATCCCGAATATAAAAACACATTTTCCCTCGAAAATCAGAAATATAACATGTTCAATTTAGGATCAATGTATCAAGATCCACCAAACCAAAGTAGTTTCAAATTTAAAGAAAACGGAAAAAGAAGCTTTATACGACTTCCATTTTGAGAAGCCGAAATATTTGATCGTCTACAACGAGGCGAACAAAACAAATCTCGGACAGGTGAAGGCTTACCGGTAGGATATCACTTAGTTTTGGGACATTTGTATTTTAACTAGGCATACAAAAACTAAAATTGTACACACCGGAAGAGATATTCTATAATAAAGGATATTAATCGACAGAGAACTTTAAAGCTTAGTAGAACACAAGCAAATCTAAACATTATGATTTTACCTTGACTTAATATACGTCATTCCTTGTGTAGCATACGGCCTCAACGATAACTTTCCTTTTGTCCTGTCCCTTACGGTTGATTTTGCAACCTACCAAGAAATCGCTGTTGTCTTCAGTTACACAACATTATATTCCCTAATTATTGTAATTATGACGCCATTGTATGGATTATAACTTAACTTTAAATTCTTATTTGGGTGGAAGCTGCAGTTTTGGAATATTTTTTGAATAACTTGTTATAGGTAAAAAAAAAAAAACAGAAAAAAAAAGAAAAAAGAAAAAAGAAAAAAATGTGTTTTCTGGAAATATAAGTTTTTCTGCACTGCAGAATCGACATCAAAAGCGTGTCCAAAAATATCCTCCCCGAGGGTGAGGGCAACGAGCCGACGATCTCCTGGGCCCGGCACCAGATGGCCGTGACACGTCACAAAGACGAGGAGTTCACCTCCAGCTCCAACTACGGAATGTTCGATGGTTCTCAACCTGTCGTCGACTTTACAAAGTTTTATAATGATGACGAGGACATTGTTGATAAGGTACATCTTAGTTAAATCTACATTAAACATATATGTTGATATCTTTGTAGCTTAGACGGTGTGTCTGTTAGTATGTGTGTAGCTACGTGACTATTGTACATTTTTTCATTGAGAGTCGTAGGATATGTAAATAGGTGTACATTTTAGTCCAGCTATTTGAGTTAGTCTAAATGTATAGGATGCCAATATTCCCAGAACATATTGTGTATTGAAAATTCGTGTTGAAAAAAAACGTATCTATGTGAATAAGGTTATAACGTAGCGAATTACTTTATTTATTTGACTGTTGGTCGGATATTTTCATATTAATTTTGATATTCAACATATAACTTAAAATAAAACTAATCCTGACATGTATGATGTTTTGCCACATGCAGGACCTTGTGTGCTGGGTCTCCATGGGGATGCACCACATCCCCCACACCGAGGACCTCCCAGTGACGCCCTCTGTTGGTAATCACATGACCTTCTTCCTGATGCCCTACAACTATTTCCCACAATGCCCGTCCATGGGATCACGTGACGCCCTGTATATCAAACATACTGACCCCAAAAACCCATCTGATGGGGTCACTATCAACAGGTCAATGACTTCATTAGTTTCTAATCATTAGCTTTGCAAATTATGTAGTGTTTTAACTTATTTTTGACAACAAAGCTATGTAGATATCTATTTGAACAACTACTACTAGTTTTGCAGTGTGTAAATTAAAATATATCATTATTTATTTTTTAAACTCGCAGACATGGAAATAGCGTGGATCAATGTATCACACAAAAACCCACTTTGGAAGCAGACGTCATCAATAACCCAGATCAGGTTCTACAAACCAGACGTCCCAGATTTTAGAAACAAAGTTTGGTTCTCGTTTTATCGAATGTACTTTTGTTGTTGAAATTTCGTATTTATATTTGAATTGTTTAATTATTACGAATAATATGTCAAATGTTCTAAACATTACCCATATTAAATCACATAAACTTCAATTAAATATCTCGGAGCTACACAAACAAACAACTCGTTGCAAATGTGAGCAATGAAATTTAAATTTAAATGATTGGTGAAATCTTAGAGTTTGTCATCAAAATACAGTTTAATATATGAATAAAACAAATTACGATTTGCTTTTGTTTTCGTTTTAAATTACGCTTTTGCTTCTATAATCGCCCACACGTCAAATTAGCCGAGTCCTTAATGTATTAAAATAATACATGAAGATGGTAACTTTTTAACGTCAGAAGCCTAACTGCCATTTTGAACATTGCTGTTTGTTCCGGTCGTATTTCTAGCTCGTGATACAAGTTTCTAAAGAACATATTAAAGTTGCTGAGCTGTTGAAAAATCAACTAACCCAAGCGGTCATGGATTGAGTTGCATATTTTGATCAAGATTTAGATTTATTAGCAATGCGTTTCTCTGTAAATATGTAAAATATTTGTATTGTTCTTGAATGATGCAACACTTGCGTTAACGATGCAATATCCTGCAATTGGTTCGCATTCGCTGAGTAATTATTCAAATTTTCATCTTTCAAAATATGATGCACACATATTTTTATGCGTATGTTTCTTGGAATATAGTTGATTTATCATGTCAAATGTTGCTATGGAAATAGAGACTCTTATACTATACAGCATACCCCTTTTAATCCTGGAGTTTTGATTTCAGCTGTACATTATGTGAGTTTGAGAATGTTGTAAATCTACTCAGTCCGATTCATGTTATAAATATTTACACATAGATTAGAGGCAGATCTATTTAGTTTATCGATGTCTAAATAAATATCAGACTTATGAATCTTGTTAGACTCAAAATTAATTTAAAATATTGACTTAACTATTTAGCCCGCATCACGCCTCAATGCAGGCTTGACATGTGCTTACAGAAACAACCATTGGCAGAGGCGTATCCAGGTTTTCGGTGTAGGGTGTAGGAGCGGAAATAGAAAAAAAAGGCGACGAATTTGTAATATCTTCTATATAAGTATATATATATATATATATATATATATATATATATATATATATATATATATTAGCTGTATGATATTTCTTCGACATGATGTAAAATAAATTTAAATTAGCACTCTGAAGAAATAAAAAATAAACACAATGTTGGCCGATGAAACAAAAAAAAATGGTTTCATACTAAACAAATATATATATATATATATATATATATATATATATATATATATATATATATATATATATATATATATATATATATAATCACACTAGAACCAAAAACAATAAACGGCATAATCTGTTTCGTAATCCTTGTAAAAAAATGCATAATAATTCCTGGGACATCTATTAAGACTAGCGAAAATGGGAAATAGTCAATATCTTAATATAAATATGTATATGTCTACATATTTTATTATAAATATCAAAACAAATCAATAACTGCTTAAGAATCTAATAAAGTAGTTTAACACTATTCGTTTTTACAAAAATATTTTATCTACAATCAGAATTAAATATATTGTCATCATAAATGCTAAACTTTTACAGCATAATGAAAGTTTTTTAAATCAGAGTTGGTATTAAACCCAGCTTTTAAATAAAGCAGTAAAAGATTCGGAATAATGGCCTATATATAACTACAATATCGGTCTTACAATTCAGATCATGCACTTTTTAATAAGCTATTGACTTTTTGTGTTCTTTAAAGATAATTTTTTGACATAATGAGAAGGTATGGGTTAGATCACTGTATTGCTCACACACCTTTTACTGGTAATTGCAAGAACAATATTCACGGAGATTTACGTTTTAAATGTTCCGACCAAAGATAATTTTTTAACAAATATCAATGTTTAAAACTTTGAGTTTAAAAAGTTTTCAAAAAGGCGCCACTTTGCTGAAAATGGCCAGAGGGAGAGCGGCCGCTCCCCCTGCTCCCCCCTGCGTACGCTACTGAACATCGGGTATAAAATATGGCGCATGTACGCAACATAAATCATGCACTTAAGGGTTAATATGTCCTTAAAGTATTTTATAAAATCGTGAGTGGTATTCACACATCCGATGTGGTTTTAAAAACTTGATTGTGTGGTTTTTGTGAGACTCTACTAAAGTTTGGACGTATTTTATATTTTTTCTTACTTTTGGTTATTAAACAACATTCGAAAAAAAAAGTCATAAACAATTTTATTTTGTCTTATTTTCACATTGGAAAAAATAAATATGGTGGTACTAGGTCATAATGTAAAAAGTAAAAGTTAAAAAAATGCCAGAAGTTTAAAATGTGATGCTGCAGAAAGCTAGTCTCATTTAAGTGAAACTTCATGTTAAAAATTGTTTTGGTGAAAATAAATAAAAATGCAACCTTAAAAGCAAAATATGTTTTCAAGTTCTCCGCATTAGCAAATGCTACAGATATAATTCCTAAAAATAATTAATTTTTGAACTTATTTTCAGCAATGATTTTTTTATTACGTCCACTATGAAGAAAAAAATTGACAAAAACACATTTTTTTCAATCGTCTGCTTCTCATCAAACTCAGCGGTATCCACAAAAAACGGGACTTACGGTTGACTATTCCTGCAGGCTGTCGTTGAGACTCTAGTGTAGGATTGGTTGATTCCTTTTTCAAATAAACATTATTTCCGATGAAATCTAAATGGTTTTTTGTCTATACCTCTGCTTGTTGGAGATTAACCTGACTGGATTTAACTTTAAATATAAGGACACGGAATTTTAAATCTCAGAATTAAAACCATGAAGAAATGGATATGGTAAAATGGGAAATTATGAACAATTATCCAATTGTATAGATAACTTAAATAGCATATGTTTTGAAAAAAATCAAAGCAAAAATAGACCTAACACACTATTATACATGGCTTCTTCCCTCCCACCCCCATGATTTTAAACGATGTGGACCCAGCCTATCCCTTAGCGAAAATAAAAGACACAATATAAGTTGGTTACATAAAATCTATTCTATAGAGCATACGAAACTTTCACATTTCTTCCAACATCTGTTTTATTTTAGCGTTTATTGACTTAAAACAAAAAACGAATTCATACATGCACCATATTTAAATGAAAAAAGAAATTTTAAAAAATATTTCTGTTGCGAAGGAACTTCTTGTTATTTAACTGGTTATTATAAAAGTGACGTATTTTAATGGTTAAAATTGTGTACCTGGAACAACTCATTTCGTTTCCCCTAAAATGAAAATAAAAAATCCAAAATCAATAAACACAGAAATAGAAATTCGATAATTCAACAATCAAAGTCAGATGTTAGAAGCTGGGACGTCTGGTTTGTAGAACCTGATCAGGGTTGTTGATGACGTCTGCTTCCAAAGTGGATTTTCGTGTGATACATTGATCCACGCTATTTCCATGTCTGCAAGTTTAAAAAATAAATAATAATATTTTTTAAATTAACGCATTGCAAATAAAGTAGTAGTTGTTAAATTAGATATCTACATAGCCGTGTTGTCAAAAATAAGTTAAAATACTACATAATTTGCAAAGCTAATGTTTAGAAACTAATGAAGTCATTGACCTGTTGATAGTGACCCCATCAGATGGGTTTTTGGGGTCAGTATGTTTGATATACAGGGCGTCACGTGATCCCATGGACGGGCATTGTGGGAAATAGTTGTAGGGCATCAGGAAGAAGGTCATGTGATTACCAACAGAGGGCGTCACTGGCAGGTCCTCGGTGTGGGGGATGTGGTGCATCCCCATGGAGACCCAGCACACAAGGTCCTGGATGTGGCAAAACATCATAAATGTCAGGACTAGTTTTATTTTAAGTTATATGTTGAATATCAAAATTAATATGAAAATATCCGACCAACAGTCAAATAAATAAAGTAATTCGCTACGTTAGAACCTTATTCACATAGAGTTTTTAATACATACCACATCGGTTTGAATACACACACATGAATAGTAAGACGACGGATACGTTCTGAGCATATTAGACTGTTATATATGTACACTAACTAAAATAGGTGGACTAAAAAGTACACATATTTACATATCCTACTACTCTCAATGAAAAAAAATATACAAAAGGCACGTAGCTACACACATACAAACAGACACCGTCTAAGCTACACAGATATCTACATATATGTTTAATGTAGATTTAACTAAGATGCACCTTATCAACAATGTCCTCGTCATCATTATAAAACTTTGTAAAGTCGACGACAGGTTGAGAACCATCGAACATTCCGTAGTTGGAACTGGAGGTGAACTCCTCGTCTTTGTGACGTGTCACTGCCATCTGGTGCCGAGCCCAGGAGATCGTCGGCTCGTTGCCCTCACCCTCGGGGAGGATATTTTTGGACACGCTTTTGATATCGATGCTAAAAAAATTATGTAAAACAACATTTATTTTCTTCACCACTTCTGACAAGTACATACGAGCTTGGATGGGAACCCTCTGATGTACAGCATCCAATTAAAAACAGTCCAATTACACCCCCAACTAATGTGACCATTTAAAGAAAATTATTGAAAAAAATTTTCTTTGTTCTGAGTCTCCAACTCCGGCCACGATTTAAAAAAAAATCTCTTTTGATAATTGGATAGATTTTTTTGTGTGACGGTAACAATTTTAGCGTTGAATAGTTTGGTTGATGAGGTAGTTTTAGTGTTGAATAGTTTGGTTGATGAGGTAGTTTTAGCGTTGAGTAGTTTGGTTGATGAGGTAGTTTAGCGTTAAATAGTTTGGTTGATGATGTAGTTTTAGTGTTGAATAGTTTGGTTGATGACGTAGATTTAGTGTTGAATAGTTTGGTTGATAAAGTAGTTTTAGCGTTGAATAGTTTGGTTGATAAAGTAGTTTTAGCGTTGAATAGTTTGGTTGATGAGGTAGTTTTAGCTTTGAATAGTTTGGTTAAGCGAATGAGCACTAAAGAGGTTTCAAACACAATCACCAAAATATAATGGATGGTTTTTGTATATCTCTTAAACAGTCTTTGCTTCAGAACTTTCTTACAACACTAGAGAATGCGGATTGTGATAAGAAATAAATATATTGATGCCAATGGTTTAAAAAATAATATTTATTAATAAATACTCTTAATTACTATTTCTTCTATTCTTGTATTGCTAAACTCTAAACTTTAACCTTTCAATCTAGTTAT